TCCTCAGATATCTCTAGCTCCAAGCCTGTAGATGAGAAGAGGAAGAGCCTTCCAGGGACTAATGCCTTCTTAAAGACAGAAATCAATGACCATTTTTCACATGTGAGTGAAGTGTTTTGTGGAGTGCCAAAGGAACACGTCCTGGGAGAGGGCTTCTCAGCAGAAGTATTAGGGAAAAGGGCTGATGATTCAAAATTCTAAAGCAGTTAGAAGTAAACCTTCCTGCAACCACTTGCAGAATGCTCTCTCCTTGCTGAATGCCTGAGAGGTGAAACACTAGATGAGAGTCAACATCAATAGATGTAAATAATGCACAAAGCAGGGAAGAGAAACAACTAGGCTATGCATCTCTACAGTCAAGAGCCCAACATTAGCAATGACCACTCAAGGACAAGAGACTGGGGACACTTCAGACTTGAGAAGCCACAACCCCATGTCTAGTGGCTGCCAAAGTCATCAGTGCAGTTTCTCCAGCCCCCGCAGAAGAGCAGTCAGTGCTCTCAGAGTGGTGGCTCCAACATCACCTGGCCAGGGACCTGCATGGAGAGAAGCACCATGTAAGCAAGACCATTTTGAGTTTCTTCTCAGCCACCCAAAGAAAGCTCTGGTTTAAGTTTTCAGATTAGATCACTCACAGCAGCTCGAGCCCTTTGGTTGACACCTCAACTTTCTTACTCTTCCCATTCAATTTTTGGTGTCATTCAGCAGAATGCCAAGGCTGATTGTTGGAATCTGGGTGTTCAGGGGAAGGATTATCAGTGGCCAACAGGCTGTAGCTGAAAAGATAAAGGAAATAAAGAAATCTGCAACAGTCTCATCCATCCCCTCATGGACTTGCAATGTCAGGGAAGAGGGAGCGAAGTCACAACACCATCAGGCACTGGTGTCCAGGACAGGCTCTGAGCAAACCCTGGCATTGAGAAACTCACTCTGTGTGAGGGGATTGCTTGGGTGCCTCACACATCTTAATATCTGATGTAAAAGTGCTCAGAGAGGAGCAGACTTACTCTTTCAGCTGGCAGAGGACTACCCCGGGACAGGGCCAGTACAGCCTCCCATATGCACTGGTCTGATCCGTGCCCTCCAGGGGAACTGCTCAGGAACTGCCTGCAGGTTCATAAAAAGCCCTGAGAAAAGAGTAAGGAGGAATGAAGTCTTCCCATCAAAGCGGAGGCCAGGTCAGACAGATGGGATGATACCACACACATCCCTAGAAAATCACCAACCAGGATGTGCCTGATAAATCACCCCCCAGTTTCCATTGGCCTGGGTGAAGAGTCACCAAACCAGTAAGCAGAAAGCTTCTGCTTACTCTTTGTCTCTACATGCTCACAGTGACTCGAGCCCAAGGAGTCAGTGATCTCCACAAGGCTCCATTTCCCAGGCTGCTCTGCTCGGGGAGTCCAGGGTTCATCCTCCTTCTGCCACAACAGTCAGCACTTATCCACATCAAATCATCTTCATCTGCCATCTACCCTGTTGAGGCAGGCCACAAACCACTTTCTTAATAATTCTGAGATTTTACTAACCTGCTTACTTTTTCAGCTGCAGGTTCTTCAGCCCCTATCTCACCAAGAAAAAATAAAATATAGTGTTTACCATTTTTCCCTGTTGATCGTTGCCCAACCTTTCTATTTCCTTTTCTTGTGCAGTCCTGATTTTGGCTCATTACAATACTTTGCTTCCTGCCTTGGAACAAATGCACTTGTGTGGGACCAAGTGAAAAAAATTCTGAATGTCAAAACCTGATTTTTTTAATTTTTTGCTGTTTTATTTACTGCTTTAGAGGCACCTCCAGACTGCTCTAAAAATTAGGAGACTGCAGCCTGTATCCACCTCACCTACTACTCATGCTAGTAGTCCACGCTACAAAAAAAAATCCTTTGTCTTCATTAATCATTTAGGTGGGCAATGCACGTCCATGGAAGGGGAAAACTTTGATACTGAAGGGCTTTAGGGGCCCAGAGGGCACCTGCACTGTCTGTGCCCTCGATGTCAGGTCTTTGGACAAACCCTCTTCTGTGCATGAGCCTCAGGACAGACAAGGTGCCCACGGTGGAGATGATGGGAGAAGCCCCTTCAGCAGAGGGTCTGGCAGAGGGGATCAGGTTGCCCTGTCAGGCTCCTCCAAGTGCTTGGCATCAGGCCTAGAGCTCCTGTACCCATCCCTCGTGTCTGCAGGTAGTCCTGAAGGGGCAGAGGGTCACATCCAGGGTGAGAGTAGCATGTGAGATGCTGCGACCTTGGGCCGCTCATCTGTCCTTGCTGGTCCTGAGCCATCCCTGATGATGGCCTTTTGCTGCCACAGGGAGATGTGCCCCAAGCAGCATCACACTGTGGAATGTCCCCTTGCACTCTATTCCTCTTCCACTGAACTCAGAAAGTGGAGATGGTGATGTGCAGGAAGAAAAGGTCAAGAACTGGAACCATTGCAGTAACAGCAAGAGGAGTCTGAAGAAGAAGAGCTCATCCTCACAGGAAGACACAGCATTGGAGTGAAAAACTCCTGGAGACACTTTCTCTGAGTGACAGGGTGATGTGGGCATTGTCATGAAGATGTGGAACAAAAGACCCATCCATCACATCTGCAGAGTCCTGATGGGGCAGAGGGACAGGCCCAAGGGGAGAGAGGCACATGAGGGGCTGCATGGCCAGAGACCCCTCAGGCAGCTCCAGCTCATGCACAATGGAAAAGACATTAGGAACCATCAGGCTCCAAAGGGAGCAGGGCACCTCAGTGGGGCTTTGGCCAGCAGGAGCAGTAGATCAAACAGGAGTTCGCAAAGCAAAAAAGTAAAAGAAACTGCAGTTTGAGACTGGGGGTGTCAGTGAGTTCTGTCTTGTCCTTGAGCTGCTCATGGTGTGGTTCTGCTAAATGACGGGTTTTGTTTCAGGACAGCACTGATTAGGAGGATAAGTCCATTAGACAGGACATTTCAAATTCAGTGGAGTAAACATTAGGAAAAATTAGTAAGGAACAAGACTCCTGGCTACCTTGCAGTAAACTCTGTTACTGGCTCAGCTCAATGCTTGGAGATAAATTTATTTAAATCACCTCTCCCCCATCAGTCACTAAGGAATATCCACTTCACCGGATGCAGCATGACCAGGAAATCACCTGTCCAGCCCATGGCAGGGAGGGGCCTCAGCTCAGGACAGCCTCATCGACCTCAGCTGTCAGGTAACAAGCAATAGGACAAGATGAAATGGTCTGAAATTGTACTGGAGTTTAGGAAAAATTTCTTCACTGAAAGAGTAGTCAGGCACCAGAACAAGCCACCCAGGGGAGTGGTGGAATCACCATTCCTGGAAATGTTTAAAAAATGTGTATATTTGGTGCTTAGAGACATGGTTAGTGGTGGGCTTGACAGTGCTGGGATAAGGGTTGGACTTGATGATCTTAGAGGGCTTTTCCAACCTAAATGATTCTAATCTTGTATGGTTGTATCACATGGACTACATGAGTGTGAGGGACTCCAGGAGTTCTCCACTGTCTGGGGAGCACTGATGGAATCAGAGCTTCTGGGGTCACACATCTAGAAGCCCTGAAATGCCGATCACTCCCCCAGACTGTGTAAGAGTACTTCACAGAAGCCACGGGATTAAAATAAATTAAAGTTAAAACCCAAAAAATCCCACATACAATAAAACCTCAAACCAGTTCTGAGGGAGTTTTCACGTGGGTATTTATGATCTAGAGGGAATTTAGGCAGCTTCCCAGGTGAGACCCGTGTGTCAGGGAAGCTGAGACTTGTCCTTGACTTAGCTTGGCTTGTACCACTTGTGCTACACAGTAAAAGGTGACTCCAGTTCATCTTCTTCTACTACCTAAAGTGAACCAGGCATGGGCTTGGGGAAGGGAAGCCCCAAAGGATCTGTTTCTCTTTATTTTATATGTTTGCAAGAAGCTTTTCTTCTCTGAGAGCATGTTTGGTAGGTGGGGAAGGATCCTCTGTTGCAACTGTGTTCATCACACCACTGCTCCCACCCTCCTCAGGATTGCTGTGCTCAGCTGTAGCACAGGCAAAGTTTAGCCCTGCCTCATATATCCTGAGTGTCTGTGTGCCACAGCACAGGAGGACGTTATGGATGCCTGCAGCATCTGCCACCTGAGCCACAGCACACGTGAGCTTCTCAGGTAGATAATCCCATGGATAGAACCACACACTGAGAAAGGTGTGCACTGAGCAGCACACCTCTGGGCACACCTGTGCTGCAGGAGGGTTTTGGCTGGATCTTAGAAAAAGGTTCTTCCCCAGGGGTGGTTGGGCACTGCCCAGGCTCCCCAGGGCAGTGGGCACAGCCCCAAGGCTGCCAGAGCTCCAGGAGGGTTTGGCTGATCCTCTGGGGCACAGGGGGTGACTCTTGGGGATGGGCCTGTGCAGGGCCAGGAGGTGGACTGGATGATCCTTGTGGGTCCCCTCTAATTCAGCATGTCCTGGGATTCTGTGAAACACGTGAAACACCTGAGCCCCGCTGAGCGCACTCCCCGTGCGGGATCTGTGAGCCGGGACACGGCTCTGTGCGGGATCTGTGAG